TCCTCACACCTGGGCAGGTGCGTGGTGGTCCTCACCCCTGGGCAGGTGCATGGTGTTGCTCACACCTGGGCAGGTGCGTGGTGGTCCTCACCCCTGGGCAGGTGCATGGTGTTCCTCACCCCTGGGCAGGTGCATGGTGATGGTCAGCTTACTTCTTCACTTCCCCTTTTATACATCTGAGGACCTCTACCCACTGGATGGTGCCCCCACAATCAGGATAGGTCTTCCTTCCTCAGTTAAACTTCTCTGGAAGTGCCCCCTGCCCCTCACACACAGCCAGAACAGTGCCTCCCTGGAGCCCTGGTGTTTTTTCATTCAATCAAGATGCCAGTTGAAACGATTGACCTGGAAAGGCTGGTGAAACCTAAGGTCACGTGTGGAGCAGCAGGTGTAAACTCTAGTGCTCATTGCTTGCAGCGCTGTTAATCCCTGGGTCCTCTGGTCACAGCACCGCTATTGTCCTCCACTTGTTAGAAAACCCTGACAAAGTATCTTCTTCATGGTGGCAAAGGGAGAACCTTTTTACATTCTAGAATTCATAATTATTTATTATATATACAGCATTCTGCCTGCATGTACGCTTGCACACCAGAAGAGGGCACCAGATCTCATCATAGATGGTTGTGAGCCACCATGTGGTTTCTGGGAATTGAACTCAGGACCTCTGAAAGAGCAGCCAGTGCTCTTAACCTCTGAGCCATCCCTCCAGCCCCTAGAATTCATGTTTAAGGGGGAAGGGAGAAGGGAAATTAAATCAGCACACAAGTTTCCTCTCAAAGTTTCATTTTGTTTTTTTCTCTTTTTGCTTTGACACAAGGTGATGATGTGCAGTCCAGGCTGGCCTTGAACTCTCAGTTCTTCCACCTTAGCCTCCTGAGTGCTGGGATTGCTAGCAGGTGTCACCACCCCCAGCTAAGTCTGGCACTCTACGTGGTTTAGGAAGATTCCTCAGCTCTTGGTTGTAGCCGTGTCCTAGGCCTGGACTATCTGAGATCCTTGGCTTTAAAGGCCTCTTCAGAATTCTTTTGTTTGTTTGTTTGATTGATTGATTGATTGATTGGTTTTTCAAGACAGGGTTTCTCTGTGTAGCCCTGGCTGTCCTGGAACTTACCATGTAGACTAGGCTGGCCTCGAACTCAGAAATCCTCCTGCCGTTGCCTCCCGAGTGCTGGTAAAGGTGTGTGTCACCACTGCCTGGCTTCTTCAAAATTCTGATAGCCACCAAGGCCTGCAGCTTCTCTTCTCTGGCTCCTTATGTTTTTCCTTCCTTCTTCAGCCTCAGCTCTCTGGCGTCTGTTTCTGCCACTCCGCTGCTCCTGCCCTGGGCACTCCCTTGAACTGTTCAACCTCTTTAGCACCCAGGCAGCTGGCTGCCTTGCTGCGTTTGTGTTGAGTGACAGTTCAACCAGCTGCTGTCACGCGGCTCTCTCTGCGGCTGCTGCCACTCAGCCCACACTACTAAAACAAGACCAAAAGACTGACAGCATCACTGGGCCCGATGTTGCAACACCAGAGGAGACAGCACAGGACGGTATCTGTTTCCCAGGCGACTCCCCAAGTGAGCCTGAACAACCTGCCGAATGCCATAGCCGGGGTGATTGCACTAACAGCAATACACTTCGCCTGCAGATGAAGGTCAGTGACATCACTAATCACTGTATTGCTCCTCTGGGCTAGGTAAAGATGCTCATAGGACCATCTAGAGTTTTCTAAGTCTCCAATAGCGAAATGTCTGTATCTTATTTGTCCTGGCTGCGGCTGCACCTTCAGGAGAGGGGCAATCAGCTGGGCCTGAGCAGTTTTTCTCAGAGAGCCTAAGGAGCTAATGCTGGCAAGAGAGTAATGGCTGGATTCTGAAGCATACAGTTATGAAATCAGATTGCCCCAACTCCCAAATGTTTTGATGCTTACAGTTGGAACTTAAGGAACTTAGTACGCTAATCCTGATCTTAACAGTGATTTACCAGCGTCTGATACCTGCCCTAGGCGGAGATGGGTCCTCCCATCCCATCTGTCTCGTGTGCCCATACACCCACCCAGCCCCCCTACCCTTCACGTCCAGACATCTTGAAGGCTGGTCCTGCGCGCTTCAGCTCTCTGTGTGGTCTTTCCCTCAAGTAAACCAGACCCCGTTCCCAGCTTCATACTAAAGAAAGCCATGATTAAACGAGGGCACTACCAGTGCATTCTCGTGTGAGCAAAAGGAGCTTAAAGTTTTAACAGACTCCTCAGATGTATGGAAATTTCCAGGAATTACACAGGAAAATAAGTACTTATAAGTGAAGCCTTGGGCTTCTGGTTTTCAGTTAACGGTGACCATGAACGACATAATTGCTCAGCAAATTTTAAGTTGTTTTGTAGAGGGCTCTTTTAGACTTGACCTAAAAGTATGTGTGCTCTTGGGGCCGGGGGTTGTTAACCCCACAGATTTGAGGAGGAAGACCACTGACCCAAATCCTGTCCAAATTCATTAAAGCAAGCTTTTCATTAAAAACTTTTTTTATTAAACTGTAGCTGAAGGTCTCTCTCCCGCCTGCCAGTTCCAGAATAACCGCTCTGAGGTTTAATATTCATTACAAACTGTTTGGCTGATGGCTCAGGCTTCTTACTGGCTAGCTCTACATACAAACTAATCCATTTCTAATAATCTGTGTATCACCACGTGCCCTGTGGCTTACCAGGAATGTGAGGAGTACTCCGGTGGCTGGTGTCTGACTCTGACTCTGCCCTCTCTCTCTCTCTCTCTCTCTCTCTCTCTCTCTCTGTTTTTTTTTTTTTTTTTCAAGACAGGGTTTCTCTGTAGCTTTGGTGTCTGTCCTGGAACTAGCCCTTGTAGACCAGGCTGGCCTCGAACTCACAGAGCTCATCCTGCCTCTGCCTCCCGACTGCTGGGATAAAAAGCGTGCGCCACCACCATCTAGCACCTTCTTTTTCTCTTTATGTTTGCTTGGATTTCCTGCCTGGCTATCAACAAAATCAGCTTCTTTACTAACTAATGATAATAAAACATGTTTATATCATGCAGAGGGGTTACCCCACATAGAAGACAACCACAGTGACATACCTTCACACAGTGTAACGAATATTCCACAGCAAGGAACCACATTAAGCACCTCCCTCATTGTACCACCACACCTGTCTAATAATAAATCTTTAAAGACAAAACAGTAAAATCCTCCAACTCTGCTTCAATAAACTGGTTATCCCTGAAATTTTCAGTGTTGAAGTTAGACTGATGAGGGCCTTAAAAGTTCCCCAGGCTGGTGAGGATGGCGGTGTGGAACCGTGTCTGTCACTGCTGACAGCCTGAGCCCCTGGGTTTGAACATACGGAAAGTCCTTCTTCATCATCTCATAGATACTTACGTCACATGTACATTCACTTGTGACTCCCCTCCCCAAGGGTGACAGGAAATTGGGCAATGTCTCCTGTGCGTGTTTGACACACACAGACTCATTTGGGAACCGCTGGTTCTACTTGTGAGACATTACTGATGTGTAAGAGAGACCGTTTAAATTACAGCCCTTAGTAACCAAGCCCTCCTCCTTTTGAACCCCATAAAAGGAAGCCTCAGACAGAAATCCAGGATCCTTGCGCGCCCTCCCTCATGAGGTCTGCTGTCACTCTGGATAGTGTATCCTTCTGGAATCTGTTGCTCCAAAGTTGTCTTGTTATCTTTGCAAATCTGAGTGAGCCCTTCTTTTCAGTTCTTTGAGTAAGAGGCCAAGGACCTGGAAACACAAGCCCGCATCCCTCCCACCCTGTAACCATTTAAGACTGTATCTGCCTCTGATGTTGGTAGCGAGCCCCCAGCTGCTAAGCTGATCGGCAGGCTGTACATTCAAGGGATGCCACATCCCCTCCTCGGGTGGGCTGACTTGCCGAAAGCTCCCAGCATGCAGGAACTTAACTGGGCTTAAACCGACTGGCTTATTCTAAAAGATGAGCTGAGAGAGGAGAGGGAGCTGGACTGGCCTGAGCATTGCCTTCACCCCTGCAACCTGGGGAGCCAGGATGCACAGAACTCTCTCAACACATGGCTGCACTCACCAACTCGTGGAGGCTTCAGCAAATCTCTTTTCTTTTTCCCTACTGCTTGCTGCCAGGAGGTTAAAGGGGTAAAAGCACCAACCCCCTCAGCATTCTCCATCCAGGTGACCAACCCCATCCTGAAGCCACCTAATAGCTGTGCCTGAGGCTGATGGGAATGGCTTCACATTTGTTTATTCCAGACAGGATCTCCCTTCCTAGCCCAGGCTGGCCTTGAACTCCTGATGCTCAGGAGAAAGTATTCACTTTAGTTTTTTGTTTTTTTCTGAGTCACAGATGACTCCTACCAGTCTAGAAGTTCGTAGGCTTCAGGAGCTATGCAGAGAACCTGGGACCACCATTAGCTATATTTTCTATATATATCTACAGCAGAATCATAAATGAATGTGAAGTCCTTCCATGGGTCACCGTTCTGTTCTGTTCATAAAAGAGCTTGCTCCATCAAAGTCAAGCTCGGGAGGTTTCTTGAAACTCAATAGCTGAACATTTGGGGAGATGAATGTGGCTGAGCCGGTGGGGCAGCCTTGACCTATCCTGGTGGGAGACATTTTTAATCTCCTTTCCTCCTGTGGTAACTAGATGGAACGGGAAAGAGGGAGGGAGGACAGGCCATGGGAGTCTGGCTTAAGAATGGAGAATTTGCACCTGTTTGGGCAGTGCTACCATCCTGGCCCAGGTGACCAGGTTTCCCAGTGGCACCTTGCTTTAGAGCCCACGGCTACAGCTTGCCACCTTCAATGTTGTAGTTCAGAGCATGTGGCTGGGGCAGAGGTGGGGGGAGGCCAAAGGCAAAGATCTTGTAGCTCCACTTTACCTAGCTGAGCTTCAGGTCTGGGACCAGGAAGCCAAGAGAAGCTCTGGGATCTTGGCCTTGAGTGTCTTGCCTAGTCTAGAATGGATGGAACCCTCCCTCACCTTCCCGCAGGTGCCTCCAGAGTTTGCTTTGGTGGGATAAGGTAGACTCAGATGCTGACATGATCTTTCACCCATCCATCTTCCCAAGGGACCAGAAAGTCGGAAGCATCCTCTGTTCTTTTTCTTGTTCCAACAGCTAGTCCATGTTCTTCACTCACAAATCTGCATAACAGCTATTGCGAGCCCTTGGTTCACAAGCCTTTGCAAGGCCCTTGCTCCACACCAGGCTGGGGGCTGGCTGCCTGGGAGACCTTAGCACACACTGTGGTCAAAGACCCCAATGTGTAGAGCTTGCCATCCTTCACAGAGGGACACTGGAGGCAATGCACAGGCCCACAGATGCCTTGCCACTGTATATATGAAGAGACAGCACAACCGTGACAAAAGCAGGGCAGCAGAGGTGGCCATGGCGGTGCACACCTACGATCCCAGTGGAAGGAAGAAGGCTGAAGCAGCAGGATTGTTAAGGGGTTCGAGGCCAACCTGTGCTACAGTGTGAGGCCCTGTCTCAAAAGTAAAGGCTCCTGTGGGACATGTGTACACTGTGTGAAGATAGATCGCTGTGATTGGTTTAACAACAAGCTGAATGGTCCCTAGCTAGGCAGGAGAGGGCTAGGTGGAGGTGGCAGGCAGAGAGAATAAGTGGAAGGAGGAATCTAGGCTGGGGGAGAGAGAGAATGAGGGAGAGAAAAAGGGAGATGCCTGGTGCCAGGCAGTCAGGCAGCCACCAGCCAGTCAACATGGAGGAGGACAAACGAAATGAAAGGTTAAAAAACAAACAAACAAAAAACAAAACAAAACAAAAACACAATAAAACCAAAAATCCAAGGCAAAATGTAGACGAAGAAAAACAGGCTAATTTAAGTTCTAAGAATTAGTTAGAAACAAGCCAAGCTCTAGCCTGAGCTTTTGTAATAAGAAGGCTTCGTGTCGTTGTTTGGGAACTGACTGGCAGGACAGAGAAAGACTTGGTCCGTATGGCACCAACATGGGGACACATATTTCCACATAGGACCTAAGAGAGTTTGAAAAAGTTCCAAAAATGCAAATACGGAGCCAGACATGGCTTCCTAGTCCCACAATCTCTCAGATAGGCGGTGATGCACAGAGACGCAGCGCCCAGCTGTTGCCTTTAGGCTTGAACCAAGCAGCACCATGTGCAGAGCCACAAGGCAGATTTAAGGCTTGGGTCCTGGGTCAGAGAAGGCTGCAGGCACACGGTAAAGCAGTCCAGACTGGAAAACCCTTTAAACAGATAAATTAAACCAATCTATATATTTTTAAAATGTCTTAACTTCAAAATGGAAGTCAGAAATACATTGTAGTGGGGGAGAGGTTATGCTTTTGTTTCCACAGGAAACAAAAAGTTATGGTTCTCTTCAAAATTAATGAAGATCAGATTTGATTAGAGAAGTGAAAAATCTTGGCTATGGACATAAAAAAGAAACCAAGAAAGTCTATAAGACAGGTGGCATATGGATGGACTTGATCCCTCTACATGGGAACAGCTCTGCGATTGGACGAGACTTGATAAATCTTGTTGACTACAGATTCCTCATGACTTATTATTGCATGTCATCCCTTCATATGGATGGAGATTTATATTATAGTTTGGTTTTATAGTCCAAATGGTCTTATAAAGTTGACAGATGCCTTTTACCTGCTCAGACACAGAACAAAAAAAAAATCATCTTTAGCTGACTTGTGCACACTGCACGTTCCATACTGTGTTAATGCAGATAAGTACATTACCTTTAAAAGTTTGTGTGTTTTCAGAAAAAAAGGACCAGACACCAGTATAGACAAGTAGCCCAGGTGACCCAGCCTCTCAGAGTGCCTCTCTCTGAGTTTCCTCAAATTCTATATTCAGAACAACTTCAAAGCTGCTAGCTGAGATGACCCAGTTTCACAGACTCTCCAGCCAAGACTTCAGAGAAGCCCTACACTTTCCCATCACACAGAGAAAGCTGACACGCGTGACAGAAACGACACGTGTGACAGAAGCGACACGCGTGTCAAAACCAGCAGCGCGACATAAACGACACGCGTGACAGAAACGACATGTGTGTCAAAAACAGCACGCATGACAGAAACGACACGTGCATAAAAAACTAGCACGCGTGACAGAACCGACACGCGCGACAGAAACGACACGTGTGTCAAAACCAGCACGCGCGACAGAATCGACACGCGTGTCAGAGCCAGCACGCGCGACAGAAACGACAGGCGTGCCAGAACCAGCACGTGTGACAGAAACGACACACATGACAGAAACTACACGTGTGTCAAAACCCGGCACATGTGACAGAAATGACACGCGTGACAGAAACTGCGCACGTGTCAAAACCGGCACGCGTGACAGAAAAGACACATGTGACAGAAACGACACGCGCGACAGAACCGACACAGTGCCAGAAACAACACGCGTGTCAGAACCAGCACACATGACAGAGACTACACACGTGTCAAAACCAGCATGCGTGACAGAAATGACACGCGTGTCAAACCAGCACGCGTGACAGAGCCGACACGCGTGACAGAGCCGACGTGCGCGAGCAACGACACTCATGACAGAGCCGACACGTGTGAGAGAAAAGACACGCGTGACATAAGCAACACGGAACGACGAGTGATAAACAACACGGAACAAAGAGTGACAAATAATATTATATCCTTCTTGGGTCTTTGATGGGGTTGAAGACTAGATAGTTATAGTTACAGTTTTCCTTG